CTTTGAAGTCCACTTCAGCCAACACGGGAGCGCTGGACGCTATGGCACCGACAGCTATGTTGGGGTACTTCTCCCTGAACCAGGCGGCCAATGATCCGGCATAAGAGCCCCCAAACACAACCACTTTACCATTCAGTGACAACTTTTTGGTCAAATACTGTATGAAGTCCGCCGTGTCGGCCAACGCCTGTTCACTGGACAGGTATTTCAGGTGTTCAATGGATGTGTCATTGAACGGTTGGGACTCTCCGTAGTACCGGTGCTCTAATGTTGCCATAAATGCGTTGAATTGTTTAGCACTTTTCACCATAAAACTGGCGCTACTGGTGATGAACTCTGGAGGGGCGGTTCCCTCGCCCCCTATCCTCACAAATACCGGTCCACCAGTTTTGTAGTGCGAATCTTCGGTGTAATACAGCTATTAAATAGTATCATAAAAATATTAGTTTCTAACTTTGGTTGTTGTAATAAGATTATTTAATTATTTATTAGGATATTATAAAAAATATACTTTATTTATACAAATTCCTATTTATTATAATTTATGAATTAATTTTAGTTTATAATTATAAGAATTTTATTTAATTGCACATAAAATTAATATGAAATTTTATAAATAATGATTTGAAACCTGTTTGAAAGTGCGGTTATCGTGATCGTCAAAATGGTTGAGTTTCTGGTCATAGTATTGCGGTTTAATTTCCTTAAGTACTTCATTCGGATCAGGAACGGGTGGTCTAACCATACCATACTTGTCATTGGGTCGACTCCTAAACATTGTCAACCTATTTGTAAGCACCCCATTCACGTAGCAATGTAGAAAAGTTACAATAAATATAATATAATGATTCATTTTAATTGTATTTAATTTAATAAAATTGTACAAAATTAATAAAATTAATTTCTTTGTTTTAAAATTTAAACTCTTTATATAGTCATCACAGTATAATCATAATTTATTATCAAGATATACAGTACATTAAGATCACACTTAATTTTTGAAATTATTTAGATAAATTCCTAATATTTACTGAACATGTTATTTATATTTTAAGAAAGGTAAAAGTGAAATTTATATAAAAACTATTGATCAATAATAATTCAATAACTATTATACAAATCATACGAGAATATACAGTAATTATGATACATTATCAATAATGTGATAGGAGGGTAAAAAAATTATTTTTGATAATTAACTTACAACCACTGATATAAGTTATTGGAATTGAGCCTAGTACACACAACTCTTAATTATAAAATTAAATATACTATATAAATTGATTAGTATATTAGTGATCACAACACCTGTTATAGTATGGTATGTTCGTGAGGGTATGGTTAACATTGAATGTCATACTGTACCACTCTAATATTTGTAAATTTTTAAATGTATGTTATTTTTAAACATGGTTTGTTAGATTATCTCATGAAGTACATACTTTTGCAATTCACATTATGGTATGGTTGCAATAGATTCACATTTTAATTTCAACAAAATATAGATAAATAACTTTTTGTTTAATTTTAAATGCAATAAAGGTCAATTTATTGTGAAACTTTTCCTAATTTTGTAGTTTTATATTATAAGGGTTTTCGGGTTCCCACGAGTTTCCCGAAGTAGGGCTTCCCTATAGAAAAACACTAAGGGTTCGGGTTTCAAAAATTGGTCTAATTTTGGACTCTAATAGTAAGTACTCGTGAGTTACTCGTAATAAATATGTTTATTAAGTATAATGCTATCAAACAATACAATTATTTCAGATATTCTTGCAATTGATTTGTAATCAAATTGTGGGCATCCCTGAGGCTCTGGGTCTCATTGGCCGAGTAGACCATATCAGCGCCATGGCCTTGACCTGAGATCATCACCGCTTTGGTGCTGTTGCTGAGGTCCTGGAGTACACTCAATGAATGCCACGGATCCAGTGAGCCGTTAGAGAACACCACGTTTGTCACATTGGGTTGACGGCCCCCGTAGTAGGCGTTTCTGGTGTCCACCGCTTTTTGTATGGTTTGGACAGTGATTTGCGGCCCAAACACGTCGCTACAGAGTTGGATATGCATGTGGACGGGTATGTTGTGGCCAAACAGGCAGTCCTTCACATTGGTTGTCACGAAGTCTCCGAATTCAGTGCATACCTGATAAGTCCATTGTCTCACTGTTTGTCGAAATAAATGCATAAATACATAAAAATTATTTAAATGTACCCTGGCCTAATAACCTATTTAATCTTTTGAGATGTTTTCAATAAATTTTTACAATTATCAGAGAAATAGATGAACGACTTAATTATATTTTACTCGAGTTTATAACTGAAATATGAATTGCTATCATAATATAATACATACCTCCAACGCCTTTCTTAGTCGTATGATTCATTGCCTTAACCAGGTCAGTATACTTGACATCATAACAATCATCATCACCTGGTAAACCATGTTGTTTAGCATATCTTTGCAACGGAGTGCCACCACTCGGGTCATTCATTATCCGACAAATACCATCGATGTCCTGATTGTACTGAACGGCACCGGCTATTGACATAGCTAGGTTATATATCAGATAAGCAACGTTTAGGCTGTCGGTGGTGTCAAACGTATCGCACAGTTTGAACATTTGTCGCACTTTTTTCACCCCTTCCGGTGTTGTCAGCAATTCGTCCAATGTTTGCGAGGCTTCCCTTAAAATACAATCAAAGATTATTCCCAATTGTAGTCCATTTGCATCCCTTTCCCCGTAAACCATACCTAATATTCTGTGAGCACTCCGTTCCCAATGAGTCGCTAACGACACCGAAATACTCCTTAGCGTCCACTTCGGCTAAGACGGTAGCGCTGGACGCTATGGCACCGACAGCTATGTTGGGGTACTTCTCCCGGAAAAAGGCGGCCAATGCGCCGGCATAAGAGGCCCCAAACACAATCACTTTGCCATTCAGTGACAACTTTTTGGTCAAATACTGTATGAACTCAGCCGTGTCGGCCAACGCCTGTTCGGTGGACAGGTATTTCAGGTGTTCAACGCTCGTGTCGTTGAACGGTTGAGACTCCCCGTAGTACCGGTGCTCTAATGTTGCCGTAAATGCGTTGAACTGTTCGGCACTTTTGACCATAAAACTGGAGCTATCGGTGATCCAATCGGGGCTGGCGTCCCCCTCCCCCTGTATCATCACAAATACCGGTCCACCAGATTTGAAGTGCGAATCGTCGGTGTAATAGATCTATTAAATAGTATCATAAAAAATTAGTTTCTACTCTAGGTTGTTTTAAATATGAATTAATTTACTAATTATTAGTATATCATGAAAGTATTAAACAAATTCCTATTAATTATAAATTATGAATAAATTTTAATTTATAATTATTAATATTTTATTTAATTATACACAAAATTAATATAAAATTTTATAAATAATGATTTGAAACCTGTTTGAAAGTGCGGTTATCTTTATCGTCAAAATGGTTGAGTCTCTGATCATAGTATTGCGGTTTGATTTCCTTAAGTACTTCATCCGGATCACGAACGGGTGGTCTAACCATACCATACATGTCGTTGGGTCGACCCCTAAACATTGTTAACCTATTTGTAAGCACCCCATTCACGTAGCAATTTAGAAATGTTACAATAAATATAATATACAGATTCATATTTTAAATGATATTTAATTTTACAAATTGTACAAAATTAATAAAATTAATTTCTTTGTCTTTAATGTTTAAATGCTCTTTATATATAGTCATCAAGTATAATCATAATTGTTATCAAGATATACAGTACTTTGGGATCTCACTTAATTATTGTAATCATATAGATTAATTTTCTAATATTTGTTGCACCTGTTATTTGTATTTGAAGAAAGGTAAAATTGAGAAATAAACTTAAAGTTTGTTGTATTAACAACCTTATTTTCTAACAGTACTTTTGGTCCAAATCTAATTCACGTAATTAAAGTCCTAGTATTCGTTGTATAAGTTATTTGTATTTTAAGAAAGATAATCATAATGTATAATAATAATGAAATAATTATTTTTTAAATGATATGAGAATATCCTGTAATTATGTTAATTTACTTTATCATTAATATGATGTACAGATTGTTATTAGAATTTACAGTACTTTAGGATCATATTAATTATTGAAATCATATAGATTAATTTCTTAATGTATAATATTTAATGTATTTTTTAAGGAAGGTCAAAATGACATTTTTATAAACAATCTATAAAACATAATATTATATTTGTTTGTAGGGGCTTGTAGGCCCTGATATTCAATAAATCTAATATGACATTATAGATTTTATTTTAAGTTTTATTATTTTTAAAAATTTCTAAATATTTTAATTAATTAAATATTGGTATTATTTTTAATTATAACTATACGTTTATTTTAAATTAATTTTATTAATAAAACATAATAAATTACACATGCGCTTAATAGGTACAGTTGAACTAGGTTTCCATATAAACTGATTGCATGACAAAACAGAAATGATTACATACACTGGTTATTAATACAGTATATAATATTCAAGGTAATATAAAAGTGTATAGATATTGATACTAAAATACAATGACAACATTAATGAGCAAAACAGTGTTGCAAACAAATTGTTTAATTCAAAATAAATTTTTATTAATATTTAATAAATAACATTATTAAGTCCTTATACTGTACAAACTTATCAAAATAATATATGTATACTTCATATGTTTGCTATCATAAGAATATAGTGTATATTAAGTTATATAAATAATAATGTGATAAAAAGTTCAAATTTTATATAATAAAGTATACGGTATACACAAATAAGTGCAGTATTTGACCAATTACCGGTAGTTATTTATTAGCAATGTGATAAAATAAACTTTTTGATTAGTAAATTGTCAAATGTGTGTATATAAAATTGACAATTTTTATTAATATTTTCACTCTTGTCTACTATAAACGAATAAAAATATTTTGAAAAACACTTCAATTTATATATTCAAACAATGTGTGAAATGTATAGTAAAGACAGTTTTGACCGTTTTGGCGATGATTTATGTGAAGTCCTATTGAGTTATATTCAATTCAAAGACCGATTCCGTTACGAATGTCTGTCCAAACAGTGGCAACGATTCATATATAGCCACCAAAACGAGTTAATCATCTATTTTGCGGCCGATTTGCGGACCTATGAACTGATACTCAAAAAGTGTCATAACTTGCGATTCTTCGGATGCCATCACAACGAGAGGAATATGGTAACCATTCCTCCGGAATTGTATGATTCGCTCATCAGATACAGCAAAAATTTGACCGAAATTGACATCGAAATAGATGTCACTCTAGACATTGAGCTCATCGATAGATTCTTCACCAGATTTGGGCCACAATTGACACGAATATCGTTAGATATGATAAGTTATGATGTATTAAAAAACAGGGTCTTTCAGAAACGCATGAAACTGCTGTCCAAACGTGAATTCAATCTCTCGTTAATGTGGAGTAATAAAGACCTTTCGCTACTATTTTTACCTCAAAATACATTAATTTTTAATAATATACGCAAAATTGGATTTGGATTCACGAATGCCGACTGCAAGCCATTCAAACAAATTGTCAAAAACTATAACAATATCTTGAAGTCTATAATCATATCAATGTCGGAGGACCTCAACGATAGCTCACTAACCGACTTAATGACCGGATTATCACAGATATCATCGTTGGTTGAGTTGGAACTACACGACCACACGAGCCCTAAGGTGTCGGTCCTAATACCGATGCAAATGAGACAAATTGGCACCAAATGTCAGAAACTTAAGAAACTAACGCATCTTTTCCTCAATAACTTTAACTCGCAATTGGATCAGAGTTTCGGCGAAACGATTCACACATTCAATGCATACTTCAAACAATTAAAGCGATTGAAAATACAGGGATTTATTCCCGAAGACTATCCGCTGAGTAGCGAAGTGTTCAGTGGTTGCAAACGACTGACACATCTGGAGATATGGTCTTATAGTCATAATCAGGGCTTTAATTTGACTCATATAGACACACAGTTGCCAAAACTACAATACCTGTCCATCTATGATGTGAACAATGCTGAGATATCTATGCAATCGTTGGCTAAACTCAAAGACTTGCAAACACTTTATATTAATACAGCGGTCGATGAGGAAAATAAAGATATGACAGTCAATGAGATAATTAATATTTGCCACAAATTAAGATGTTGTAGCATTTAGTTAGTAGTTTTTAATTTATAAAATACAGTATTATTACAGTATAATATAATAAGTAATGGCATTTAATTTATTTTATTATACCAATATTAAGTTAATATACGGTAGATACTGTAATCTCCTAATTTTGGTAGTGTGTTAAATTAATTTAGTAGTTGTTTATTGTTATACCAGGATGCTATAGCATCTAAAGTAATTATTATACAACAGTACTTCAATGTTAGATAATAAATACAAATAACTATAGTAACTTAGTATGATGCTTAATATATTTATTATGATCATATTATTACAGTATTAAGTGAAATACAGTACAAGTATATTAAAATTTAACATAAAAGCATTTATATTTTTGTTTTAATGTTACAGCAATAATTGTCTTACAATATTTATTGGTTTACTAACTAAGAGTACACAATATTTAAAAATTGTTTATAAGTTTATCTATAATTTTACTAAAACTAATTTGTGGCTAAAAATAAATGTCTCAAAAATACAGTAAAGACTCGTTTGACAGATTCGGTGATGACTTGTGTTCAGTGCTGTTGTCTTACCTCCCGGTGGACCACAAACTGCGGTTTGAATGCCTNCAACGACTGGTGTTTAGCCGACAAACACATCTCGAAATAGATTTGAAAATCTTAAACAACATAAAGCCGTTTAAAAATAAATCATTGAATTTAAGCGGATTTGAGGCGCTGTTGAAAAAGTGTGAATATATTACTGCCATTGAGTTCACCAATACTAACGGATACACTAAACTCAATCAATCGGTGTTTGAATTAATCATTAGATATTGCGACCATTTGAATCAAATTAGTCATAGTGACATAATTGATTCAGGGACAATTAAACTATTTTTCGCAAAGTATGCCAGACAATTAAAATCTTTTTCATTGTATACGTCGGTGGCTGATAAATCCACTGATCATTACCTGAAGTATTGCAAAAATATTCATACCCTAGATATCCAACAACAATATAGTGAACACCGATTTAATGATGTGTTCAGTGATAGTGTTATTAATTAAAAATAAAATATTATTCAAGAATTTAACTAAAATATCTCTTGAGGTCTGTATGGATGACAAGAATTGTTTCAAACAATTTACGGATTGTTATAAAAATCAGTTGAAATCCATTGATATCTCTATTGATAATAGTTGTGATGAAAGTTGTGTGGATATACTGATTACTAGTTTGTCACAAATGTCTAAATTAATTGATCTAAAGATTCTTCATGACGGGTCATACAATACAGACAAAGTTATCAAAAATAAATTATATAAAATTGGTGCTAATTGTGGTCGACTTAAGCGGTTATCATTATACATATATAATATGAACACGTATGAGGATTTAAAGAAAATGTTTCAAACAATTAATACAAGTTTTCCACACTTAAAGCGCCTCAATATAAAGGGTTGGTTTGGCAAAGATTTTACACTTAAAAACGATTTACTAAACCCATTAAAACTATTAACACATTTATCGCTGAATTGCTGTATAAATGACCCTTTCTTTGAATCAATTGATCACAATTTACCACAACTTCAATCCCTATATATTGGAAATCGATACGGAAACATTTCAAAGACATCGATGACTTCATTGTCTAAACTGATGAAAATACAAACAATTGCATTGAATGGATATCAATTAGATCCGACGCCTAAGAAATCTTGTCAAGTGTTGGCTAAAAAGTGTCCAAAATTCAAGACATTGTATGTTAACAAACAAAAATTAATTTGAAAAATGTCACAATATCTTATCAAATTTATGTACAAAGTATACATAATAAATATTATAAAATTAATTGGTATCTAAATTAAATCAATATTCACCTGCACATTTTATATTATGTATTCAGTTCTTAATAACTAAACTGTATTAACATAATTATTTAGTAAAATAATTTTCTATAGACACTAATATTTTTGAAAATTTTGAATAGTGTTTTAAATTAATTTGGTAGTTGTTCATTTACCAGGATGTTCAGATATTCATACCAGGTTGCTGTATCATCTAAAGTAATTATTATACAACAGTACTCGACTCATTCAAATAATAACTTGTAATTTGAGTCACTAATTTTTGAATTTTTAATTCACATTAATAATGTTGTGTAGTTTACAGCCTGGTAGCCCTCCCGTTTACTATTGTTTCGGAAGGAAGTATGCTTTAGGGGTGAATGAAAATTTTGGATAAAAGGTATGTCAAAATTGGTCCTAAATGGACTATACAGGTCATTAATCTGTATAGTTGGCTTTTTTGCAATTATTTGTAAACGGGTGGGTTACCTTCCTGGTAGTTTACAAATTATAGATTTTATTCATCACTAATTTTAAGAATTTAAAAGTTTGGTTAATGCACGCAATATATTAAAGAATATTTTACTTTAATAAATCATGTTAATTGTTTTAGCTATTTAGATATTCGTGATAAACATACTTAAAGCGAATG